GCTTTACAGACCCATGAAGGTCATAAGTGCAAAGATTGGTTGCAAAGTTACTTTTGCAGCACTGTTGTAACTGCAAATGGTCACTGTACAAGGCAGTTGCTAAATGAGGACTACCTGTACTGCTCTTCCAGACTCACATTGGCTGAAAAAGAGCATTGCAAAACCAGGTTGAATACTGTAATGCAGAAGCCCTATTTACGTGGAACATACAGTATCTAGCATGATTTAACCCAAACTCCCATCTTGTATGGAACAGGCTTGAATGGGAGACTGTTCCCTTAGCACCTCCCAGTCCATAGGGGAGCTTTTACCCTTGTCCTTTACTTTTTAAACTGATTATCTTTTATGCACGTTTCATTACTCTTTATTTTAATATGAATATTCTGTTTGTCTTTTGCAGTATTAAGGTGCTGGACATGAGTGGGGAGAATCAGGTTCTAGTCCTCCTTTAGCACAGAAGCCAGCTAAGTGACTTGAGCAAGTCACTCTCTCTGAGCCCAAAAAGAGAATCAGAAAGGGTTACCACATATAATTCATCCTTCTTAGTCTGGATTTATCAAAATTAGACAAGCATTTATTAATAGATATTTATGATATAGATCAAAATAGAATGTGCTATTTCAGTACTTTATGTTTCAGATCAATTTTCCAAAGCAAATGATGAGTAGCATTTTATTTTATTAATTTGATGAAAATTTATTATTTGAAACTATATGCTAAAATTATAACAAACTGATTGATTTCTGATTCATTTGAGTTATAGTGAGGTACCCATCAGGGTTACCTACCTTTTCTGTTGCTTTTTTATTTAATATATAAATAATTGAATATTGAATATAAATTAGGTTGATATGCTGATGATATTTTGGCAATTTTAGATAACTATTCTATTTCATTGTTAAATTTTATACCATGTTATATGGTGCTTCAACTGCAATGGTTAGTATTCAGGATATAAGATTAATTGGGATAAGTCCACTTTATGTCCTTGGGTTGAATGCTGATATATCAATAGAACAAAGTAAAGAGTTGGGTTTTATAATTTCTACAAAATATATTAAGTATTTAGGATTTTATATTCCCCAAAATATTTGTAAATACATAAAAATAAATATGATGCCTTATGTATCAATAGATGGATTAAAATCCCACTAAGTGGGGTAAGGTAAAATTAATGTTATTAAAATTAATATTTTAATAGATTTTTTTTCAGATAGACAAATTATTAAGGAAATTTATATGGGAAATCAGGCCATCAAGGATATCATTGTCTAAACTGAAATTATGAGGATAGTGGTTTTAATTTACCAGATTTTCAAAAATATCACTGGTCTTATATTCTATCAGCCAGTGTTTACGTAGAATGAAAATTTAGTATATTAACAACCTGTGTGGGCCTTTTAGGAAAGTTTTATTTATCTGCACTAAGGTCTTGGCAATTGCTTGGGTCAATATATAGTAAAAAGAGCCTTTCATTTCTGGGGTTGAGAGAAGCTAGACAGGTTTGGGCCTTGTTGGATTATAGATTTGATTCTGATATTGAGGCTCATGAATTTTCAACTCTACAGAAACTTTTTACTTTAAAAATAGGCAGTAAAACATTATTATTATATATTTATCCTGACTTTATATATATATATATATGCATGTATGTCAATTCAAGGTGGCAAACATACTTAATATTCCTGCCTCCTATTTTCCCCACAACAACCCTGTGAGGTGGGTTGAGCTGAGAGAGAGTGACTGGCCCAAAGTCATCCAGCCAGTTTTCATGACTAAGGGAGGCCTAGAACTCAGAGTTTCCTGGTTTCTAGGCATAGCCCTTAACCACTATGCCAGACCAGCTCTCTATATTATACTGTATATTGGAAAGTATGGGTAGAATATGAAAGTTACTTTGTAATGATTATTTTAAGGATTTTTCTCAACTTCAGATGGAGTTCACTTGCCTAATTCACAACAGTATGCATGTCTTGAGAATATAGATCAAATGCTTTAGCTGCTTCAAGGAAATGTGAGGTACTTTCTCTTCTGATGGGGTCTATGTCTGAACTAAACCTACATCATATTTGTATCAAAAATTAAAGAATATTTTTAAAGCTGAAATCACTGACCTGTACGATGTATAGAATAAAGAACTGCAGTATCTAATAAAGAAACATCAACAGTTACAAGTTTTAAAAAACATTAAATCAGTTTCTTTGGACTTAAGACTGAAATTGATTAATCAAAAGATTCTATTTCAAGTTTATTGGATGCTCCAAAAATGTATCTGAAAGGATGTCAGATTTTCTTTGTTGGCAATGTAAAAAAAATTGAGAGAACAATGACTAACATGATTGGTCTTGTGAGTTACTAGCATCTTTTTCTAATGTATATATGCACATACTGTATGTATACATGTACAGTATATATGTATGAAAATCTCTTAATGTTAAAGATATTAATCTTATGCTGAATTCCATTCCAAGAATGTAGAATCTGATTGTTTTTGAGGAGCTTTGGCTATATCAGGTGAGGCGAATGGCAAGAAAATTATTTTGAGAAACTAGAAAATTAGTATTATTCTGGATATTAAGGATTGGATTTGGGAGATGCTTAATTTATCCATTTTTGAAAAGGCAATTTTTTATACCAATCAAAAAATGACATATGTTTCCCTTTGGCGTAGATTTCATGATATTTTACAACAGATATTTTACATCAATTATTTTTTAATCAGAGCTGTTTATACAATGTTTAATATTTGATATAATTGTGATACACTTAGATAATTTTATTTTCCATTTTTTCTCTTTTGTTTTGTTTGTTATTGTTCATCAGATGGTATCTTTTTCTCCTACTTTTTTGTATTTTTGTGTATGCTTTTTAAAACTTGTAATAAAATAGATACAATTTTAAAAAGATCAGCCAGCTGAAGAAGAAACCCCTCATCACATATAGAGAGCCACAGAAATGACCTTGGAGAAACCATGCAGAAATACTTACAGAAACAAAATCATGCATTGACTCCAGGAAACAGAGAAAGCATGAGAAAGAAGCTTAGAATGACTCCACCCTAATCCACTGGGGTATAAGAGGGAGGAAGGAAAATACAGTCAGGCTTTCAAGATTCTGTTATTATAGCCTATATTGCTAAAGTATAGTGTATAGTTCCAATCAAACTTGTGGACCCTATATCCTATAGTCCACAATCAAACTTGTGGACCCTATATCCAGCCCATCTCAAAGGCTGACATTGTATCATGCATTAATGGCTTCATTGTATAAACTAGGCAAGCACTGTGCAAACAAGTGGACCCTACAATCAAATAGGGCAAGTGCTAAGAACAAAGTTCCTAACACTTTCAGTTGACTGTTGCAGCAACTGAAAGGAAGCAAAGGACAACAAATGTCTCATCTGCAAGCAAGTACAACAGAGACTAACTTATTTTCCCAAATCTTTTCCATTATAGGAAATTCCCAAAGCATCTTCCAGGTGGTGGAGTAGCTGTATGTGTGACGGACAGAGATCGCAATGAAGAATCAAACATTAAAATTACCATGTACGTTTCAGTGAATGTTTCAATTTGTTGATTACCTGGATGCTTACTACCTTTGATTCCTAGAATATTTTTCTTTACAATTCTTCTCATTATTACATTGTCATAAATCACAGCTTTTTAAAAAATTAAGCTGTTGAAACTGGAAGACCCATAAATCAATGAGAAGGTTTTCCATTTCATATTCTGGATGAGGATAATTTATGATGTCTTTACAGAAATATGGAGAGTTACAAGGAATAAACAGGATTCTTGAGCACACATAAAAAAACTGGAGTCCTGTAGCATAAGCTCCTTTAAACTTTCCCTAGCTTCTCAACACTCTGTTCAGGGTAAAATATTCTAGTCTTGATTGCTCCCTGATTTTATCTGAAATTTCAGCCGCAATTGACCAGGATACCTAAACTGGCACTGTCAGAACCTGCATCAATCAAATGTCAATTTAAAAAAAGCTATAGCAGTCAATGGGTGTTTGCTTGATTTGATTCTGCCATTTGTACCTCAGGGGGATGTTATAGTTGTGCTTGGGTTATTACTATGAGATGGAGAGCCGCTCACACTG